ATATGTCTACCAAGTTAAATGTCAGTGAAAGTAGCTAGGATATGAGAACAGCAGTAGTGACCCCCCAAAGTTCCCAGAAAGTGATCCAAGAAAAAGAGCCAGCCCTAAAGCCTGTGGCTTCTGATGTCCATACAAATGCACAAAGTATGAATAACAAGTAGGGTGATGGAGAAATACTAATACAGGAAAGCAAATTTTTGCCTTATAGGAGTCCTTGAAACTAGGTGAGATGGGACCGTGGTTGGGCTATGGCTCTGAAAAAGTCTACATTATTGAGAGTTAATGGGTAAAGGAGAATGGTGGAATAACCTGATATGTTAAGAAAAATCCAGGGGAGCATAATGGAGGGGATTTGGGTTAAGATTAAGGAGGCAGTCATGTCTGCAGACTATAAACCAATCATCATGTGTTTATTAAGTGCCTACCATTCAAGCATGGTGCTAAGGCATTGGGGATGCAAAGACAAAAAACAAAGTTGCTACCCTCAAGAAGCTGACATTCCACTTGGGGGAAACAACATGTATTTATAAATAAATGCAAAATATATCTGAAGTAAGTACAAGGCAGTGTTAATAGATGGGAGAGTTCAAGAAAGATCCATGTAGGAAATGGCACTTTAGCTGAATTTTGAAGGAAATTAGGAATTTTTTAGAAATATTTTTACTCGTTCTTCTTTGTTTTTACATTGCATTCTTTCCCAAACATATTCCTCTCCTTCCCTGCTCAGCAAACCATTCATTGTAACAAAAATTAAAAAAGGAAGGTAAAAGATGGCTCATCAAAAGCAAGGTACACAAGTAGGATGACTGATGATTGATGAAATATGTTCCACACGTCTTCTGCAAAGAAGATGCATTTTCTCAACTGCATTCTGGGTATTATGGGGAATGGAGGAGAGAGACAGCATCTGCAGAGGCTCAGAGATAGGAAGGAGAATGTTATATACGAGGGGCACCAAATAGTCCAGTTTGTCCAGAGCAGTGGTGTCAGAGTCTTGGCCTACAGGCTACAAGCCTCCAGCAGAACTCCTGAGTGCCTCAGAACCAGATTCAGTTGTAATTGGGAAATGTTTAACAAAAGAGATACAAATTCAATGCAATGTAGATAATGTTAATTTGTGGTTTTCTAAGTAAATGTGCAGCTGCAGCTCTCTGGAACGTTTCTATTTGAATTTTACACTACAGGTCTAGAGCATAGAGTACATGAGATGAAGTACTGTCCACTATATGGGAAGGTTGGCTAGAGTCTAATTGTAAAGGGCTTTAGATGCCTGAAAAGTTTATAGTTTTTCCTAGTGGCAGAACAGAGTCAGCAGAGCTTTGGAATTAGAAGAGTGACCTAATCAGACCTGTGCTTTAGAAATATCACTCTAGCAACTGTGTGGAGGATATATTGAAGATGGGAAGAGACTGGAGGCTGGGAGAACAGTTAAGGAGGCTTTAGCAATAAATAGTCCAGGTGGGACAGCTAGGTGGCACAGTCGATAGAGCTCCAGCCTTGGAGTCAGGAGGACTTGAGTTCAAATCTGGCCTCAGACACTTGACACTAGCTGTGTGTCCCTGGGCAAGTCACTTAATCCCAATTGCCTCACCAAAAAGCAAATAAAGAAATAAATAGTCCAGAGGAGAAGTGATGAAGAACTCAACTGTAGTGGTTGGTGTCTAGGTGAATCAAGAGATCTAGCTGGAAACGTCTAGGCAGCTAGTTGATGATATAGGAATGACACTCAAAGAGAAACATTCGGGATTACATAAATATTATCTGAAAATAATCTCAGAGAGATGATAATTTAACCCAGGGAAGCTGGTAAATTCCTCAAGAGAGGATTTTTTAGAAAGAAGAGGGCCCACAACGGAGCCCTGGAGTGCACACAGAGTTAAGGCACAGGACATAGATAATGAGCCAGCAAAGAAAACTGAGAAGAAGCAATCAGGATGTGAACCAAGAGAGAACAGTGTCATGAAAACCTAGACAGGAAAGTGTACCCAAGAGGAGAGGGTGATCTGCAGTGTCAGATGCTGAAGACAGTTCAAGGAATATGATTGAAAAAAGGACAGTGGATTTGGCAGTAAGATAATTGGGAATTTTGTAGAAAGTAGTTTAAGTTGAGTAAAGAATTTCGAAGCCAAATTTTAAGAACACTTAGAGGAAATAGATGAAGAGTTGGAAAACACATCATCACCCTGGTACCAAGAGGCGTGTTACAATAATGATAGGAGACTTCTGTTATGTGGATATCTGTTAGAATATCCTTTCTCCTTAAAGCACAGTAGCTGACTTACTATAATAATAATTTCCTACTCCTAAAAAGATAGGAAGCAACTAAAGGAACTGTTATATTAGACCTGGTTTCCATCAATAAATAAAAACTGGTTGCTGAAATAGAAATCGTGGGAAGCTTGGGAGAAGGTGACCACTCTATCAGAATTTGTATCAGGTTTGGAAGATAGAGCATAGTTTGACATTGCACTATAGATTTTGGGAAAGCAAATTTCAGATATTTCAGAGGTGATAAGTAGGAGTCATCAGACTAAAATTTCGTGGGGAAAGTAATCCCAGGAACTCCAACATAAAAGGTTGTTAGCTAAGGAAACTGATGTGGATGTACACTAAAGTCATTGACCAACTTAGAATTTTTTAAAGACTGGAGAAATTGGAAGCAAGAGTAGGTAATAGGATTTATGCCATAGTTGAGTAGAGTATCTAAGAATAGTGTTAGGTGTGCAAAAACTCAGGTGGGACAGTGTTAACAGATAATGAAAATGAGGCCCACATGCTTTACCCTTAATTTACTTCTGTATTCTCTGCCAAGGAACATGATCTTTGCTCTGGAGAGGATAAAACAAAATGGTAGGTAGGAAGGATAGATTTCAAAGTATATAGATTTCAAAGGGTCTGAGGAATTCCATGACCTGAAGTTCTACAGCCCAGGAAGGATGAAAATTGCATGAGAATTAAGTTCTAAAGATCTGAAAAGAAACAATTCTGATTAAGAAGAAAAGGACAGCTTGTCTAAAGATACCAATATGGAGCTCATTGACCAGCTTGGGTTTTTAAAAAGCATATACAGAAAATGGAGATAAGGGTAAAAGATGAATATAAAATCATAGTATACTCCTGTGAGAATAGGGTCAAAACCATACCTGGTATGGTGGAATATACCTATAGTCCTTGCTACTGAGAGTCTGAGACTAGTGGATTTCTTGAAGTTGGTAGTTCTGAGCTACAACGGGCATCCAGGCTAAGTTCAGCGTTCTTGTGGCAAGCTCCCAAGATGAGCTGGAGCAGGTCAGGGAGCTGATGATAGGGGGGTTGGATATGTGAGTCTCTCACTTCACTTCTGGCCTAGGAAGGACTTCCTAACAAAATGGTGCCCAAGTAGAATAATTGCCTTGATTAGCTTGGGTCTCCTTTCACTAGTAGGCAAAACCTGGTTGACTTTGTGCAATGACTCTTTTCAGGCACAAGTTGAATGACACTCAAAGCTAAAGTTAAGTAAAATTAGAAATACTAATTCTTTACTTTATAATGCTTTACAAATTCATGCTTTTATCCTGGTAACTCTTTTCACTGGTGTAGTTCATAATCCCCTCCATGCATTGGACAATTGCATGAGTTCTAGCTGTCAAAAAATTCATTCTTTAGTGATGAGTATCTCCATACTTAACTTGATTGGTGCCCAGACAGAAAATACAAAGTCTATTGCCATCCATTACTCAAAACCTTTCCAACATAGTAGAACCCTCCAGATCTTTGAGTCTTTGAGAATCCTAGATCAAGATCGTAGCATGATAGGATATTAGAGGAAAATTTTAATGGAAGACCATTGGAAATAATACTAATTAAATATATTTGTACTTAATACTTCCTTTGTGTAATGTGATGAAAATTTGAATGTTCAAAAAATAGTTTGATTGGGGGAGGGGGAGAAATCTGTTCCTTAAAAGTACAAAAGACGTTCTCCTTCTTTGGTAATAGCAGAAGTAGAAAAACTCTGTAAAAGTCAATCTTAAAAAACAATAACAACAACAAAACTCCCAGTATTCTTGGATTTAAAGAAGGAACAGGAGAAACTAAACAAAGAAAAAAAGGAAATATAAAATGTCAGAAATAATCTGCCATCAGGACATTAATAACTTTGATGTGTACCTTTGAGAATGTATTTTTATTTAAAATTAGTGTGAATTGTATAGTTTTAAATTTGTAATTTTAAAGTTTTAAAGGAATTTTAAAATAAAAATACATACACACATATATACACAGTATGCCTGTCTGTGTGTGTGTGTAATAAAGGCATAAGCATTTATTAAGAGCTTATTACACTAAGTGCTGGGCCTGCAAATATTCTTATGTTGGCGGGGAAGGGACAGTTCTTTTAAGGCTCTCAGAACATGTAAGCTTAGCTTTTTGCAAGAGATTGGTTTTAGCTATGGAATCTTTGACTTCCTAAAAGTAGCGTTTATGATGCAATAGTTGAAGAAAAAAAAACACCCACCATTATATCAGTTCTTTCATTGTGTCAGTTCACTTTAAGGATGAGATTGTAGGGTCACCCATTTATGTAAGAGAACTCAGAAATCATCTAGCTCAGCCTACTCTTTTAATCTAGTTTGGTTCTTTGTGGATAGCAAGCTTTTTAGTGATGTAAATATTTTTTGTCAGCAGCTAGTCAATGATATGACAAGGAAATAGAATTTGAAATGTATTATTCTGATGAATGTTAGTAAGAATCAGCTGACCCAGCAGTTCTCAGAGTGTGGTCCAGGTACTTCTGGGGCTCCTGAGACTCTTTTAAAGAGACCATGAGGTCAAAACCTTTTTCACAATAATACTAAGATATTTTAATTATGTAGTATGGTAAATATAAATTGCTATAACCTGCATAAACAAAAGGATTGGGGAGGAATTCCTCAATAATTTGTAAGAGTGTAAGGGGGTCCTGAGACCATAAAACTAGAGAACTGCTCTTTTAACCCTTTGCTTTCATTGTTTTCTTCTAGTGTGATGCAGTGAGCGTCCTAGAAAAGGAACATGACTATCGAGAAGAGCACTTTGATTTCATTCAGTCGCACATCCGTAAATTCTGCTTACAATGTATCCTCACTTAAGGTGGTGTCATTTTTGCTATTTCCTCTTTTTTCTTCTTTAAGATGGCCCTTCAAAATTGCACAACTTGAAATAGCATAAGGTTAAATGTTTTTGTCGCATAATTTGCAAAATGATTGCTGATCTTCATTGGTAGAGAGAATTTCCTCATCAGGACTCTTCTATACCAATAAAATAGCAGATCCCCCAAAATTAAATGTAGCACTACATGTGTGACTTTTCTGCGCCTTGATTTTTTTCGTCAGTAGGGATAATAATGCCTGTGCTCCAGACCTCAAGGAGTCCTCTCCCTGTGAGGGGAGCACTTGGTAAACTGTACAACACATTAGAAATGTGAAATACTGTGGCCATCTTAAAAGTAGGGAGGAAGAGGAATGTAGAGTTTCCTCCTAAAGAGTAGGCTGTCTGCTGCGATACGGGATTACTTGGAGGCATTCCGTTCATACCTGTGGTAAGCCAGCCTTGTTGATGGCACCCTTTGGGTGATCTGACACATTAACTGGAAGTAAAGAACTGACAGTTCCGCTGCCAAACATCATTTGAATTTGGTGCCTTTTAAAACTTAAACTTGGCCTTTTTTCAGAATAGGAAGCTCAGCTTAATTTTAGGTCTAAATCATCAGCAGATGTGGATTTGGAGTCAGAAAGCTGGGCTTGAATGCAGCTCTGACATTTTATCCTTTTGTGGCCAAGTTCCTTCACTTCAGCTTCTTCATGGTTCGGATGGACAGAATAATGCTCAGTGTGCTTCAGAGAGATCTTACTAGGATGTAATGAGCTAATGAACACCAAGTACTTTGGAAATTGGAAAGCCCTATTTAAATGCTGTATGTGCTATTTATTGTCAAACAGAACATAATTTTCGGCTTTAGTAGGGGGAATCCCTTGGTAGTCTACACATAAGACACTGAGTTAACACCAGCCTTGGGTCTTTTGAAATCCAGCAAGTGGTGCTCCAGAGCCACATTAGGTGACTGGGCTGTACCAAGAAGCTTCCTTAAATAGGCTTATGCTTTCTTGAATAGCTTACAGTATGTAAGGGAGATATAAAAGGAATACATTGATAGTCTTTTATTTCACAAAAATTTGAAAACTGTTTTTATTTATGTGCATACAGTGGATTCATCCTGTCAGTAGGGATGTGTTTGTGGTGTGCAAGGCTCTTTTTTCTGCTAATGAATTTTATGAGATTTAAAAGTAGGAAAATGGTCAGAAAAATTAACAACCAGAACTGAGCCAGAACAAATCATTTCTTTGGCAAAAAGTTCACTCAAAGATTATACTCACTGTAGTTTTGTACCACCAAGGCCAGATTAATATACTGCATTAGTAATTTAATGAAGGATGATCTAGTGACCTAGGAATAGTCTTATGTATATCTGAAATGCTTACATTATTTTCTGAAGTAGTGAATTTGAGCTAAATATGCTTAGTTAGGAAATTCCTTTGGGAAAAAAAACATAATGGGTTTGTTTACACTCTGCGTATCTATATGCTGTATCATTTATGTGTAGCATTATACTGTATATGTATTGTTTATTCTTCTATACAATATGTGTATTCTTTGCTATAATATATTCTTTGCTAGAAATATAGTATATGCAACTATATACAGATCTTATGATAATATATATAATAATATGTAATAATATAATATAAAATAATATAATATCTTATATTATTTTGTTATTCCTTCATTGAAGCACTGTTTACATCCCTTAGCATGGGATAGAGGTGACTGAATTCTTGAAAGATGTCCCTGTTGGAGCTCCAGCTTTTGAATAGGCACTACCTAGCTGGTAGTGTATGTAGTCCTTTTAATGGCATGTTATCTGAGGACTAGTCTGATGAACTAAGAGTCGAGAGGCTCTTCACCATCACGTTAGCCATCAGGTCAAGTGTTTTAAGGACTTTTAATTTAATGGTAACTCACTGAGACTGTTTATTTAGTTGGAACAGGTGTTGTGGTCTATATATAGTACAGCCACACAGATAAAATCATGGATCCTTGGAATATCGAAGTGTATATGTACATTTTTTCATTAGAAACTGGACCTTCCATTATTTTAACATTAGGATTCTGAGTGAGAAGATTCTTGATGGTTGGGCTAGAAGCCAGGATATAGTTAAGAACTCTGATTTGGATTCCAAATATCTGAATTTTAGTTACAAATCCTCCCAGTGAATGATTGACTTAACGCTGGAGCTTAGTTTTCTCATAGAAAATGAAGGATTGGAGCTAGATGATCTTTCAGTTTTAATGTTCTATAATTCTATAGCTGTTTTTACCTTTTTGATGTTTCAGAAGTTCCAATATTTGTCTCAGTGTATCTGGATTAATAATTTAGGCCTGTTTCTTCTTAATTGGATTTTGATTGTGCATGCTTGATTTAAACATTCATACTGACTCAGCTTTCCTTAAGCAAATTGAATAGATGGAGCTGCCTTGATTTATACATCAGTTAAGGAAGAAAAGAACCTTGACTTGTTGTACAAGTATATTGTGCATAAAACATACGGTTTTCACTTCACCACACCTGCCTTAGTGGTGGAAAAGGATGCAGTTTTTATGTAAGTTCACTTAAAGATGTTTTTTCTTTACATTTTAAATCTTTTTATCCCCGTAAAGTGTGGTTTTTCCCAATTTTCCCAAGTGGTCTGTTTTTCGATTTATCTTTGTCATCCTACCTTCTATTAGGCTACACGAAGGCAGTATCGTATAACGGACAGAATCCTAAACCAGGAGGCAGAAGACCTGCCTTTTTTTTTTTTTTTTTTTTTTTGCCAGTAACCAGCTATTTGAAGGCATTACCTTCATTCAATCCTGAGTTTTCCTTATCTGTAAAATGAAGTCGATAGTCTACGTAGTGGAATTGAAAGAATACCTTGGATCCAGGAGACCCGGGGTCAGCCAAAACATGAGCTTCTTTCTCCTCACTTTTTGTTCTTCTGCATTAAGAACAACAGTAAATATCAGTACAGCCAATTAAGTTTGCCTTGCACCTGTTTACATTTAGATACGCTCACTGCAGTGGCACAGAGTGTCTTTTCAGTCACGTTCTTAGGCTCCTTCTGATTCTTTTTCCATTTGTTCCTGTTGACTTTTCTTCTTCTGGGGTCATAATTGGTCTGGGGTATCCTTTTCAATTTTGACTTTCTTGTTTTGCAGTAGTTCATAGAAATCCATATTTCTTTATCCCATAATCTGTCTTAATTATATCATTTAATTATATTTATTTACCACAGTTTATTTAACCATTCCTCTATTTTTGGACTTGTTGCTTCTAGGTTTGTTTGTTTGGGTTTTTTTTAGGCAATTGGGGTTAAGTGACTTGCCCAGGGTCACACAGCTAGTAAGTGTCAAGTTTTTGGTCTGAGGCTGGATTTGAACTCAGGTCCTCTTGACTTCAAGGCCAGTGCTCTATCCACTGTACCACCTAGCTGCCCCCCTAGTTTGTTTGTTTGTTTGTTTTTAAATTACAAATGATATCACTGAAAATTTTGGAAAAGCCATCTCATTTTTTGTTTTGATAAAACTTTCAAGGTCTATTCCCAACTGTGGAATTTTAGAGTCAAATATGGTTATTTTTGGTAGCTTTACTGGATACTAGCAGATTGCTGTCTCCCCCCCCCCCCCCAATTCTGCTAATTTACTGTTTAACCAGTACTAAATGACTTTATCTGTTTCTCCACAACCTACCAGCATTGAGTTTTGTTGTTCTTAATTAATTTTGCCAGTTTGGTGAATGTAGTGGCACCTGTTAGTTTTTATTTCATCACTTTTATTATTAGTAGGGTTAAATATTTTTCCAAGTGATTATTAACGATTCATGTTTCATTTTTTGAAAATTATTCAGATCCTTTGACCATTTAGTACTTGTTAGACTGGGAGTTTCCTGTGTAAATTTTTAGCATTATCTTATATATTTTAGATGTCAGGTTTTTACATGTTATGTTTACCATGAATATGTTTTGTCCTTCTACTTTTCTTTTGTTGTTAGTTTTTGCACAATTTTAATGTAATCAAACATGTCAGTCCCTAGTAGTTCCTTCTATTTGTTTAATAGAAGTATTCCTCTCTCCTCAATGATTGATTGATATAAATAGCATTATTCTTTGTTTTATGTTTATCATTCACCTGGAATTCATTGAGGTTTATTGTGTAAGACGGAACTCTTAAATCCATTCCTCTATGAAATGCTAACCAGTTTTCCTAAATACACTTGTTATGTAATGATATATTAAGGACCTGAGATTTAACCTCTGTAGGAACTCTGTCCACTGACACATGCTGCAACCATTGTCCAGCTCAGAATCTTAGAGAGTTGTTTTAGGTGCCAGTGAGTTGCCTCTAGTCATACAGCTAGTAAATGCCAGGGGTGAGATATGAACTCAGATCTTCTGATTTCCAGCTCCAGCACTCTGTCCCATACACCACACTGCCATACTAAATAAATGCAAACACAATACAGCAGTACATTTAAAAATGATTTATTACAACCCAGTGCTGGTTGTGCAAAGATGTTTCAACATCAGAAAAAATGAGCACTGTGGGGAGAAGTGTGGTACAGTGGAAAGAGCTTTCGATTCAGAATCAGAGGACCTGTGTTCTAATATTGACTCTGCCACTTGTGTGACCTTAGGCATGTCCGCTTGTTAGGTTCCTCATTTCAAAAAAAAAGGAAAGATTCTTTCTAGCTATAAATCTATAATCATGTAAAAATTTAACAAAAAAATTTTCAGAACTTTCCTATCTATAGACAAAAAGCTTTTGATAAAAAGTCAGCATCATTCATAAAAAAATAAAACATCACAAAGAGAAAGGAAAGAAGGGTTTTTTTTTCTCAGCACAGTAAAAGATTACCCAAGGCAGTTGTTGACATAATTTTTAATGGAAAATCATTAGAAGTCTTCCAACTGAAAACAGGGATGCCTACTTTTACCACTTTTTGGGGGCATTTTTAGAAGTGCTATTAGTTACAATGAGACAGGAAAAAATATAGGGATTAGCATTGTAAAATAAACTCAAAATATCATTATTTGCAGGTTACATAATGGCATGTCTAGACAATCCAGTTACCTTGGCCAGAAAATTCAGAGATAATAAACAAATTTTGCAGTGTTATAGGATATATGATTAGTCCACAAATATCATTCCTATTTTTAAAAAATCAATGAGATATATGAGAATGAGCCTACCCAGGCTAGAATCCATAACTTGTATAAGGATGACTACAAAATGACACTAACTGAAATAAAGTAAGAACTGAATAACTGAAGGACGATTAAGTGTTCATCAATGCAGTAATAATGATTTTATCCCCTTAATTTATTTACATATTTAATGCAGTATCCATCAGAGAGCATGGCATACTAGATGGTTGGTAGCAGTCTTTTACAGCTTCTGGTCTTTATCATTTGAAGGAATTTCCTAACTGGTTGTTCCCTGTACTGATGAAATCATAGCTGCTGACACTCCATCCCTCCCCAAAAAAGGACTGTGAGGACTCTTTGTAGAATTGAATAAAGTTATAATGCAATTTTTATAGAAAAATGGTACTGAAACATGCTGATGTTTCAACATGCTGAAACAAAAGCTGATGTAGGGGTGATCTTATACCAAACTTTAAAACCAATTACAAAGAGGTCGTTCTTCCTTTCCCTTGGCCTTTTTAAAAATTTAATGCTTTCATTCTTGGGAGCAAAGTTGACTAAATAACTTTTGTTGCTTTCGGATAGCTGATAAAAGATGATAGAAGTGAGAGATGGAATGTATGCAAATGAAGTTTGGAGATTATGTGTGTCTTTTGTTTATCCATAGTGTATCTCATTTTATGCAGTTCTTGTCTGTGTTCTCTCCCATAAATTCTCCAGAGTGTGGAAGCCTTTTCTCTAGGTCTTTTAATACTTCATGAACACCTCTACAGTATTTGGACTGCCTATCTGTTTTCCCACACATGACTACTGAGTTTCTTACTCAATTATTTATATACGCAAGTTGTCATTAGCAATAGGCTGCAATCTGCGTAGCTCCACCCATATCTCTCCCTTGCCCTTTGGGTCACTTGTGGTTTTGATTCTTTGAGTATTAGTTAATGTATTTTTATGCACTTTTATTCAAGAGTTGTCCATTCCGGATTGTACAATCCCAGTTGATAAGATTTACAGGTATTTCCCCTAATTCATTAGGGCCTTCAATAGGGCTTTGCATGGGTCGCTTGATACATAATGCATATTTATGATGAAAATGAAATAATCCTCTAGAGATTTGTATCTTGCATTTAGAGAGAGAGAGAATAAGCATTTATTAAGCACTTATTTGTGCCAGGGACTGTGTTAAACACTTTATAGATATTTCATTTGATCCTCACAATGACCCTGTAGGTGCTGTTATTATCCCCATTTTAGAGCTGAGAAAACTGAGACAGGCAGAGGTAAAGTGACTTGTTTAGGGTCACACAGCTGCGAAGTGTCTGAGGCTAGACCTACTTCTCTATCCACTGGACCACCTAGCTGCTTCAAACATTATAGTAGGTTATGTTGGTTTTCTTGTATTCTTTGAAGTCTACTATCAACAACAAAAAAAGCATTAAACTCTTTTATATACACAGCATTGTGCCAGGTCCTGTGCCAGGCAAGACAAAGAGCACTTACCTTGGTGAATATTCATTGAAAGTCTCCGTTGAAATTAATCTAGTTATTCTCTATTATTCACTTCAGCGCTGATTTTTAAAATTGTAGTTCAGAAAAGGTAGATACAAAATCCCTTTAGGTCCACAACTAAGGCAAATAATTATTAAGTGCAATTGTCTCCTTTAAATTGCCCCAATCTACCACAGGACAGATGAAAGCCTAATACAGAGGACCAGTCAGGCCTGTCTGGTCTTGTTTAATAGCATCTCATTTGTTTAAGGAATAAGAAAATTATTTATTAAACCCGCTGTAAGTATGAACTATCATATTGTTACCTTTGATCCCATCAGCAAGATATCGGCCAAGACTGGTCTGATGTGTCACTGTTTGTAGGGTCTCTATATCCCTGTCACATTAGGACACAGTTGTGGAATAATGGGGAGATACACTGGCACCAGTCTCAGGACTCAGACCTGAGTCTGTGCATAACCCTAACACCTTTTTTATTTTTTTATTTTTTTATTTTTATTTTTAGGCCGTTGGGGTTAAGTGACTTGCCCAGAGTCACACAGCTCGTAAGTTTCAAGTATTTGGTCTGAGACTGGATTTGAACTCAGGTCCTCCTGACTTCAGGGCCAGTGCTCTATCCACTGTGCCACCTAGCTGCCCTGTTTATTTTTCGTTTATTTATTTATTTATTTTTCCTAGCACCTTTGAAATATGTGATTTGGAACACGGCATGTGAATCCAGGATTTAGAGTTGGAACAAATCTTATAAATCATCTGGTCCAACTCCCTTCTTGTATAGGTGAGGAAGCTGAGGCCCCTAGTGAGTTAATGATTGGGTCCTGAGACCATCCTGCCATCTCAAAAAGAGTCACAGTCTCTTTAAAATGGTAGTAGTGATGTCTGTACAACGACCTGGGAGATTATAAGTAAAGGTTTCCCTAAACCTCCAAACAGGGAGAGTGATTTTATAACCTGCATAGGAAATCACACCAGCACAGTCCAGTCTTAACATATCACCTTAAATGCACAATTCTAAGGCTATTTTTGTACCGTTGCCTTCAGTGTGTGTATATTGTAATGCATTAACTTATATTTCTTAACTTTCATCATTGAAATGAAGAAACTTTTTTTTGGCTGGGCAATGGGGTTAAATGACTTGCCCAGGGCCACACAGCTAGTAAGTAATATGTGTCCAAGGCTGGATTTGAACTCAGGTCCTCCTGACTCCAGGGCTGGTGCTCTGTCCACTGTGCCACCTAGCTGCCCCTGAAATGAAGAAATTTTTATTGTGTCATCAGTTCACCTCTTAGGGGAGATAACATTATTTTCTGTGACATCAGACATAAAACACCTACCATGTTCATTTTGAGGGAGCTGGAATGGCTGAAGGAACTTGAGGTTATTTAAGCTTAAAAAGAGAAGATATAGGGGAGATACAATCATTGTAATGGGAAAGAATGATTAGCCTTGTTCTCCCAGAGATGTAGGAGGCATTTTAAAATTGTGGCTTTCTGCTTAATATAAGCAAAAAGTTCCTAAAACTTGAATCTGTTCCACAGTGGAACAAGCTGCCTTCCAACCCTAGAATTCTGTGACTGTCATGTGACCACTTCGGACTTTCATTTTATCCTCTGTAAAAGGCAGAGCCTGGACTTGATCTCCAAGGGCTTTTCATTTCCAATGAAAGGGTCATATGGACTTTATTGTATAGGCTGCCCTGTAAAGTGCTGTCCTCTGAGGGTACAAATTCCATTTGGTTAGTAACTTGGCTTTCATATGGTTCCAAGGGCAGGTACAACATAATTTTTGTCTTTATTTCCTTAGTGCCATATAAATATTTGTTGAATTGAACTGAAATATACTCTCTCTAGTCCCTAAAAGTATCAGGTATTCAATGATCATTAGGTAACAACTCCTTGTCCTGTGTGCTTGAATCCTATATAATACTTCTCAATCTCATTAATATGTTAAATTATGTCCAAAAAAGCAAATCATTCCTTATTTCTTTTCCTTTTAGACCTGCTGGTTGGGACAATGAAAAGAAAATAGCTATTTTACATGAAAACTTCACAACAGTAAAACCAGATGATGCATATGAAGACTTCATAGTAAAACCTCCTGTAAGAAAGGTACTAAAACTTACTTATTTTGAAAAGTTTTGCATGGTTGTTCTTAAGAAAATATTTCAAAGAAGAAAATTATGTACAAAATTTTTGATTTCTTATAGATTGTGATGTTATGGAATAAAATTATTGGAATTTGTTTTGAAAAGAAATTTAAATAAGACTTGGACTTCAGTGTCATTTATAAATTGAATTACTAATTAGAATTTAGACTTGGAGATATTATTTAGTATTTTCACCCACCAGATGTATTCTCAGGGTCATAATCATTAGCCACAATTACTTCATATAAAAATAAGTATTTAAACTCAAACTAGTATTGAAGTACATTTGACCTCTCACTAATAACAGTGCTTACATGTGTTGCAGGATAAATTGTTTTCCCAGTTTTTGGAGGCCCAGGGTCAGCCTTTTCTGTGCTAACATTAGGATGCTTACTTTGTAATACAAGATTTTATCAGTATTAAACTTTCTGGAAGCCCTATTTCTGACAAGTTTTTTTTTTAAGTACTTTGAATATTCTTTCATTCTTGTGACTACAGAAAATGTTAAGTTGATTCTTGTCATTAACAGTAACCCGAATTTCATATAGTGTTCCTTAATGGTTTCCTGAGATAGGCAGAGTGAAAGGTAAAGAATATCATCATGTTATAGGTGAGGAACCTAAAGGTGTCTCTGGCTCCATGCCTACTCACCATGGACTTCTGGGCTCTTCCATCACACCATACTGCTGCCTCTCACAATCATCTGGGAATGATTCTTTTATGCTTTTCTAGAGCTCCTGTGTTGTTTAATTTTGCATCAAAGAAATCTATTTTAATTTTTGCCCACTCATGCTTGCCTCAGCTCTTTTTTGTAGCTTTGTTAATGTAATTCTCAGCAAGCTGTGTACAGTAGAGGTCGGCAGTTTGATGTACTGCCCTCTTTCTGTATATGGAAATACTCATTTCATTTAGTATTGGTTAAGTTCAGAATTTTTAAAAAGCTATGAATAAAATCTCTGATATTGCATAAAATTTGAGTTCTATCCAAAATGTGTTAGGCCTTTTCAGTCTTAGCAGCACTCATGAATTTAATAATAATTAGATAACACTTCGAAGTTTATAAACACACATTATGTATATTACCTTATTTGAGTGTCACAGCAACACTAAGGTAGGTACTGTAGGTATTATCCCCATTTTATAGACGGAGATACAGGTTTAGACTTGCCTCTGACCATACAGCTAATAAGTTTTAGAGTTGGGATTTGAACCTGGCTCTTCCTTATCCCATTGCTCTCTCCATGTTGCCATTTTTTAGTCAATTGTTTCATCTTTCCATTTGAGAAGCTTCTCTGAGTTTTGGCTGAAGGTTTGGGTTTCTTTATGTGTAAAGTGACTCCCAGATGCATAGTAAGACTTAAACTCTGTGGGTTTTTTGGAAAATTCTGTGTTACTGATTTGGTGTTTTTGTGCATTTTTGACTAAAATTGAGCATGTTGTTTCACAGTTGGTCCATGATAAAGAATTGGCAGCAGAAGATGAACAAGTTTTTCTAATGAAGCAGCAGGTAATGGCACTGAGAATTCTAAGTCAATTGGCATTGCATTATAAATAGTCACCTTTTGTAGCTCACAACCTCCCTGGGGCATAGGGAGCATGAGTACTATCATCTGTGATTTTTTTGTAAGTATTATACCCTTGAAGTCCTTCTGCAGTCTGTTACAATTGAAATTAAGGTAAACTGAGGCACAACGTTCTGAGCACATTGAATCTATTGGTAAGGCTAACAGTTACCAATAAAAGAGTCTCTTACACTTCAGTCAGTCAAAAGACCATGAGGTAGGGCTTACTAGCCTTCATATAGTTTGGGGAAGTTATAAGGGAACAAAGAACAGGAAGCATAAAACAATATGACTGGTTACAAAATATGAAGAATCATAGATGATGGAAAACAATATGAGTGGATGAAAGTCAGGAATGCACGAACAGCAATAACTCCTTCCAGCTTGTTGCTATGGAAATCCCACTGCATGGTTAGGTAGAGTCACAGCGATAACAGTCCAGAGTTTCTTGAAGGATAGACAGCATTGCACCGCCAATTGTACACGGGCAGTAAGATATATAGAGACGATATATTCCTTTGAATTAAGATGATTTTTGAGATAGTTTAGCTCAGAGAGCAAAGCTGAACTTCTGAACTTGGAGGCAAAAAAGCATGGCGTAGGCAATTTTACAATATATTGGGTCTGATACAGATGTTACAAAATAAAATCAGAATCAGTTTGATTTTCTCAGTTCCCTGCTTTGATCAATGGAATGCATGTTTCCCCTCGATCACTTATCTATAAGCTAATTCTATAGTTTTTTTTTTTAAGTGAGGCAGTTGGGGTTAAGTGACTTGCCCAGAGTCACACAGCTAGGAAGTATTATGTGTCTGAGGCTGGATTTGAACTCAGGTCGTCCTGACTCCAGGGCCGGTGCTCTATCCACTTAACTCTATAAGATCTTTAACATAATCATTACCAATAGGACTCACTAACATAAGATTTTCTGGTGCAAGTTCAGAACACGTGTTAGCACAGCAATTAATTCAGTCTGAAAAGAATAAAAAGACAAGGCAACAAGGGCCCATTTACCCAAGGTGGATAACAGGCTGTTTCTCTGCGACCATGTGAACAGGAAGAGGGATTCCACCAGGAGTCCCCTGAAATGAGTAATTGTGTCTCTGCTATAACTTGTTGAATCTTATGTAGGCCTGTCACAATTTTCCCTGAGCAGTTAACGTAAGAACAACAAGATTGATTAATCATAGCACAAGTCGTAGTAAGAATATCCAAAATCATGGACTAATATTAGAGGGGAGGTTTACATGTCTGCAAGGTAATTTAAGAAAACTCAGCAAACATAGATACTGTGAAGCAAAAAGCCAAAGTAATAAAATAATGATCATCAACGTTAATTAACATTGTCTCATATCCTGGTAACCCACTCTAAATATCCATTTAATTAGCACATTTCATCTTGGATCCCAGATGTCCCATATAGTTGTCTGATTTCTGGAAACATCTCTTGGACATCTAGAATGGGCCTGTTCTCAGAGCAGCTCTGAAGGGAGTTGCTTCTCTGGTTCCGGTTAACTTGTAGAAATTCTTCGATGTCTGCTCACATCTTTTGCAAAACAGATCTCAATACAATTTAGTACAGTCACTTAAATTTTACTTTTCCAATAATTATTTCATATAGTGAAAGCCAGGGCAAACCTTATGATTCTAATCCTATCAAGAGCAGAGCACCAAATTAGGAACCCCTAGTTCATTTGAAACTTGAGAGAATTTAAGTTTTTACATACCTTTTGCTGTTTTCTATCTTTATCTAAACCCTGTACCTGATATAGATACTGCCAGTAACAGGCAGGAAGAATTTTTTTTTTTGGCAGTTGGGGTTAAGTGACTTGCCCAGGGTCACACAGCTAGTAAGTGTCAAGTATGTGGTCTGAGGTCAGATTTGAACTCAGGTCCTCCTAGCTCCAGGGCTGGTGCTGTATCTACTGCACCACTTAGCTGCCCCAGAAGAATCTTTTTAAAAAAAAATCTATAAGGATCTGACTTGTAAAATGAATCCTTCTGGTTAAAGATTTAATATTTACCAAAGTAGACATGTAAGTTAAGGTTAAGAGTACCTTTCTAAATTAGCACTGGCTCCATTATCATTCAACTTTTTAAGATTGGTGTTTATTTGTTTTATTCTTTATTTCGGATTTAAGCCTCATAAAAGGAAAAACGTCAGTTTTATTACTTGTGACTGTCTTGTGGTATAAAGTTAGCAAGTTGTTATGCTGCTATATTTAAGAAATTCAAATAACAACTGAGAAATGAAAAACTAAATATTTAAAAACCTTTTAAAGTAAGTGTTAAAAGAAACCAGAAAATGTTTGGCTTATACAGAGGGTGAACAGTACAATTTTACATATATAAAATCTTGAATGCAATTTCTAGAACTTAGTAGTAGAACATGCTCAAGGCTTGTATATTCCATTAGAATAGTTTACATTTGACATTTATAATCATCTAATCTTGTTGCTTTCTCAAAATTTTCCACTTTAGCAGTCCTTCTGCAGGCCCTCCTTCTAGTGTGGAGGTGCCTCTGGGCCCCCAAAGGCTGTAAGATCTGGCAGATTTCACCTTGGAAAGGCTTCAAGTTGTCCCTGACAACCAGGGTAATGTGAGTTTGGAGGAGAGGCTCCCCAGTACAGAGGTGACCCTAAAGTGGTAGATTGTCCCAGCTGTAGCAGCTTGGGAAGATATCTACTAAGATTTGTATGTTGGCACTGCTGTCTCTTTGTGGAGGGACAAAACCCACAGGGGCAAAATCAAGAAGGTGTAGATTTCCCAAGGTCACCTAGTGTCATACATAACTCAGACTTTAACCCATGCCTTCTGATTCCAGGGTCATTGTATTTTCTGCTATTCCATGCTGCCTTTTAATCATTTATATGATATTCAGTCACTTTAAAAGGAGTATTGAACTATTGTGATCAGTGATCCCACACATAAATTATGACATACAAATAAACTCTGAGTTGCACAGTCTTTAAATTCCACTTGTAACAGAAAGAAGGCATTATGTATGATTACTCACCCCTCGGGAAGAATTTAGAATATACAGTCAAAAACATATGGCTCAAGGAGATAAGGTGGAAAGAGTTCCTTTTAGTTTTCTCCCTTTTTCTTACAAGAATCTGCTGTAGAATAATTGCCATACGTTGCTTTTCAGTAGTAACTGGACAGCCTGGCTTTAGGATTTCTCCAGCTGTCCTCCTCACGTGGATAAAGGAAGGTCGTCTTTTTGTGGGGCTTCCTAGTTTACCAACAGTTTCCTTGAATCAGCCCAGTGAAATAGAGGGTGCTGATATTGTCATCCCTGTATTATAGATGAGAAGAGACCAGTCCTGGCCTTGGGCCTCCTGATTGAGTGCAATTCACACCTCATTACAACTGTTTTCCTCTGGAAACTGCTTGTAGTTGGAAACAAGAAGAGTACAACTCCTGCGGGGATCCAGCAAATCTCTGACCCCGTGACCAAGCTGGAAATGACTTGAGGATTGTCTAGTGAAAGGGAACGAAGGCTCAGAATAGGGGCATGACTGGCCCGGAGGCAGAGCCAAGAGTGGAAGCCAAAGCTCTCCTGAATCTGCAGTGCAGGGCTCAATGTGTTTTAGTTAAGCACATTTCTTAGGAGTTTACCTTGTTTTATTTATGTTAAAATGGCAATTTTGTTTGACAGTAAACTATCAAAGTCCTTTTCTTTGCAGTCCTTCCTTGCCAAGCAGCCAGCCACCCCTACAAGAGCATCAGTGAGTATTGTTTTTGTTACAGTGAAGAAAAATCCTTTTTATAATATGATGAACGGTAGACAAATAGTGCAAAAATTCTAAGTAGTGGTGTTGATCAGGTATATTCCAATGTGAGGTTTTTCATGCTTTGTCATTAGTTATGATGCCTTACATTTGTGTAGGAGTTACAGTGTTTTGATATACTTTCATGTTTATCTGATTTGATCCTCACAATATTCCTTTGAAAACTATGTAAGACAAGTATCATTCTTCCCATTTGGGAGATAAGAAAATTGAATTCCAGCTAGTTGGAACCATGTCAGGAACCAGACTCCAGGTCACTTGGTGGTTTTCAGTCCTGTTCTTTTTTAACTACGTCACACAGACCTCCTTTTAGAATGATCTCCTTTGTATTGATCATAGAATCATTGTTGTAGGATTGTTGCTGTAAAGCAGGAAGGGACTTCCATGGCCTTCTATTCCTCCCTCGTCGTTTTACAGATGAGGAGGACACTGGGGCCCAGAAAGGCTCAGTGATTTGACTAAAATTCCATAGGAAGTATAATTTTTCCAAAATTAAAATGCAAAAGAATATTAATCATTTTCAGAGTTTGCACTCTCTGTAATGTCTGTGCCTTTCAAAGTTCTGTTAACACTAATAACCTCTCTTTGGTCTAAGGAATCTCCTGCTAGAGGGCCTACAGGCTCTCCAAGGACACAGGGCCGAGCTGGACCCGCCAACGTCCCCAGTGCCTCACCAATCACATCTGTCAAGAAGCCCGATCCAAATATTAAAAGTATGTATTTCAGAATTGGCTAGACCTTGATGGTCATCTGGTCTAGTCCTTTCATTTTACAAATGAGAAGAGCAGGACTTACACCCAAGTCTCTTGACTCCCAAATCCAGTGCTTTTTCTGCTACTTTCTTCTGCTGGACTTGAACATTTAACCTGAAGCTGAAAGCGAAACATTTCTAACTCATGGGATTTACAGCTGGAAGAACCTGGAAATCATTTAATTCAGCCTCTCATGTGATGAGAAAATTGGTTTGCTCCCCACTCCCCATAGCCCACTGGAACTCAGCTCCCCAACTCAAGAGACACCCACCAGCCCCAGCCTCCTTTGGGTGGAATTATAGGTGTGCACCACCATGCCCAGAAACACCTTACTGAATAATAATTAATATTTGCTTATTAATTTATTGGTAATAAATAGTATAGCCAAATTTGTTTAATGCTAGACTAGTTATATGGGACTGGGGACTTTTGCAAGATCATATGGTTTATCTGCAGTGCTTTTGGCTGCAAAAGAGATGCTGAGGAGCTTCATAGCATAGTGATAGAAGCCATCGTTTTCTGTGCTGGAGGATTCCAACTTCCATATTTCAAAGATCATGCATTCGTTTGTGTGGTTGCTTACTCTGTGGATGTAGATCACTACCTTTCTATGCCTAACTGGTAAGGTATCTTTCGTAAGTTGCTATGACCAAAAAATTCATTACGGGAACGAGACTCTCCCAACTGGCTAGACTGTGCCTTGAACAATGAATACAGTCTTACTCTAACCTCTTCCAGCCCAGGATCACCTCTAAGCTAGAATGAAGCTTGTGATAAGTCAGATATAACAATGATAACTTAGAGTGTACAAAGCACTTTCTTCACAACACTTCCATAAGGATAGATAGTGCAAGTATTATTATCCTCCTTGTAAAGGTAAGAATACTAGGCTCAGACAGTTTGGTTTGAGTCTCAAAATACCCCTTTGAAGAAGGTAGGACAAATATCGTTATCCCCATTCGGCGGATAAGGAAACTGAGGCTCAAGGCAAAGTGACTTGTTTAAGGTCTCCTGGTTAGTAGGTGGCAGAAATAGAACTCAAATCCTGACGCCATACTCCATATTCTTCTTTGCTGTTCATCGCTGCCTCTCCCTGTGTGTACATTTGTGTCATGCTTAACAAGAATTTAGCAAAAATCTGGTCATGATAGGGCATTAGAGATCCTGAGGATCGAAGAGCCCTGCGTCCTGTGCATGACAGTGTTGGCTGTGCTTGGCTGTGGGTTAAAACCAATAAAAAAAATTGCCACAGCTGCCATGTTTCTGTCTGTCCTGTCACAAAAGCTGCTTTTGCTCACAGCCAGCCTACAGGCAGCCATCCACACAAAAGGCATCGAATCATTCCCCATGTCCATGTGCTCTTGCACTGGTAGACATTGTAGTGTGTAACATAGATCACAAGTTGTGCAGTCAGATGTTTAAGGTCCAAGCTGAAAACGGGTTTCTCTGGTTTTTTGTTTGAATTTCTTTAGATAATGCTGCAAGCGAAGGAGTGTTGGCCAGCTTCTTTAACAGCCTCTTGAGTAAAAAGACCGGCTCTCCTGGGAGTCCTGGAGCTGGAGGAGTCCAAGGCACAGCCAAAAAGTCTGGTACGGAAGGGTCTCCTTTTGTCTGGGGCCGGGGGCTGGGCTGTTTTTGTTGGTTTGGTGTGGAGGTTGCCTGCCGGGGCATTGTTTTGTTGACTGTTCAGTGTTTGATTTGGACCACATCTAGTTATATATGTTCAGGGATATACTGTGTTTTACACAAACTCAACACGGGAAAAATCCAAATTTAACAAAAATGATTACTTTGGCAGTGATTAATCCTACTTTTTAAGAAGGATGTTTCTTTTTACAAAATTATTCACCATTAGAGGATTTAGAGCTAGAAGTAACCTTAGAGATCATGTACTACAACTTCTTGTTTTCTATCAGTGAAGAAAATGAGGTCCCCAGAAAAGTAACTTTTCCGCACACCTAATAAATGGCAGTTTTGAGTTTTGAGCTTTGAACACCAGTCCTTTTGACTTCTGGCTCTGCATGCTCTCCACTACAGTACATTGCATCTAAATTGGGTACATTTGAAATAGCATTTTAATTACTAACATGCTATCTTCTCAAGAATAGACCTGTTGGGTTAGTTGATACAGATACACCTTTAACAAAAGCCACCTTGTTCCAGCAGCTACTGAAGTAGTGAAATCATCTCTTGAAATCTTAAAAAACAGTTTTATTCTCTTCAGGGGAATAGAATACATTGCATCTCTAGGTATTTGCCAACAGAAACAGTCTGAAAAGAGTATGATAGGAAGGAAAACAGAAGTCTCTTTGTTACTTCCTTCAATGAGCAGATTCTGAGAAGGCTGTACCCTGAAGCAGGTTCAAATAATCTTGAGTACTTTTTTGTTGGGTTTTTTGGTTGTTTTTTTGTTGTTGTTGGTTTTTGGTGAGGCAGTCAAGGTTAAGTGACTCATCCAGGGTCACACAGCTAGTTAAATGTCAAGTGTCTGAGGTCGGATTTGAACTCGGGTCCACCTGATTCGAGAGCCCATGTTCTATCCGTTGTGCCAGCTAGCTGCCCCTTGAGTACTTTTTTGGATATGTAATCATTTTTCTTTTCAGTTTTAAGTAGTAATAACAATAGTTCATGTTACTGGAATGCTTTAAGGTTTTGAAGGTGCTTTCATAGTCTTGTGGGGTATAGGTCTAGAAAGGACTTTAAAACTATCTAGTCAGACCCCTTCATTTTACAGATGAAGAAACTGAGGCACAGCTAAAGAAAGTGACTTGCCAAAGGTCACACAGGTGATAGGTTTCAGAGCTCGAGTGTGAATCCAGGTTTCCTTTATCAGTTCTTTATCCAATATACTACCCCAAGGTTTGTATCTAGTTTCATTTGTTTTTTGGTTAGAACAGGCTACATTGAAGTTTTGGGGGTGTTTTTTCTTTTTTATAAATTGCCGTCTATTTACTTTGGGAAAAAGCATTTGAAATTCGGCAGACTAGTCTTGTCTTAATGTTTTCACCATGTCTCCTGGAAAAAATCCACCTCTAATGTTTGACATACAAGTCTAAGCTGGAAAACAGATGCTTGTTAAATTCTTTGGCCTTTTTAAAAAGTGGTTTTGTTTAGAGTTAAAGATAATTCTATAATCTTTAATTTTTAAAATAAGCATTTAAAATAAGTCAGTTGTTTCTAATCCAGCAACAAATAGTAGATGATAAAGAAATACCTTATTTTGCAAGAGAGGAAATTGAGACACAGAGAAGGACAGTGGCTTATTCTGAATGTGTAGTCTATAAGGGGAAGAGCCATTTAGAAACTTGCTTGCCATTTTGTCATTTTTGAACCCATGCATAAAAATAGTACTCCTTTACCTTCCCCAGTAGAATCTGTTGTGATCTGTGCATCATAACTGGCTATTCCTTTCTCATAACTTAAACCCTGTCTTATACCAAAAATCACATTTTTGAGGGAAAAATAATTTATTAATGATAATGACCTTTTAGATTTAAAAGGGATATCTTTTCTCAAATAGTATATTATAGATATATGGTGGTTTTTAAGTAATTCCATTTATTTGGTATCGTGAAGAAAATTTGAAGATTAAAGTATAGAACCACAAGATATAAAATATGAATGTCAAAACTGAAAGGGACCTTGGAAATTCCCTAGTCTAGTGCACCCATTTTACAGAGGAGGAAACACAGCAAGAATGTTAAGTGGTATGCCACAGTCCATAGCTAGTTATTGGCTGAGTGTGGCCTAGGACTCAGATCATGTGATTTTGAGTCCATTGGTCTGTCCATTATATCAATTCACTCATCTGACAATCCCTTTTTTGTTTATGTTAGTCTTGCTGTTGAAATGTAGGAAGCATTTCTAGATTATTCATTTGCATAGCATATATTTATTGTAACTTGAGAGGCTTGGGAAGCAGATCAAGACTGAGGGAATGAGGGAGGCAGCCCAGTGTATGCTAAACTCACATTATTGGGAGGAAGAAATAGGGCAAGTATATTTCCCTGGTCTCCTGTCTCCAGTGTCTCCCTTCTCCAATTCGTCCTCTGCCCAGCTACCAAAATAAGCTTCTGAGATGCGTTTTTGAGCATGTAACTCTTTTGCTCAGAAAACTATCATTAGCTTCTTGTTAATTCTGAGATATAATAGCTCCCTTTGACGTTTAAGGGTCACCACAGACTGTTTACAGCCTACTTATTTAGCCTAACTGTTCCCCTTCATAGGCTGTTCATTCTACCCATATGATTCCTAGCTGTTTCCAGATCTTGTCCTGCTCACTCCTTGGAATGCATTCCCTCTTTATTTCTGTCAGTTGAGTCTTCAAGGCCCACTTCTCATCTGCTACCTTTTCGTGTCTTTCTCCCTCCCCTCCACCAGCACACATATATTCACCACTGAAAGTGATTTTTCCCTCCCTGTGTTTTCCTCGGGCACTTTGTCTGGATGTCTCTTTTGTCCCTGTAACCTTTACAAGTAAAATCCAAACTTTTTTGGCCACACCCCTGTCAATTTTTTGAGTGTGCACCCTCTCCCACCAGAGGTGTATATTCACACGTGAATTATATACAGGTACTACTGTACAAATATATTTTGTATCTTATAGAACATTTACAGAAATAGAAATTTAAAAGGATGAGACAACAGTGAAATATTTTAAATTTTTGAAAATCGTGGCTAAACACTTTGTGACATTTTGGTTTCAAGGTCAGGTTCTAAACTCAGTGTATTTTTATGTTTGGCTTTTAATGGCTGTCATGGCTTTAAAAAAAAGTTACCTCACCAAGACACGTAGACCCAGATGGAAGAATTGCCTTATTGGCTACACAGATTAAATGATGACATTCGTTTTTCAGGCCCATTTACAGGTTATGCAAAGGGTTTTGCTTAAATTTGGCTAGTAAATTACCATCTTCCTTGATGTCTGGGTGGGTGTGGCCTGGATCCCCTAGTGCCAGTGTTTAGGGGAGAAAAGGGCAGTGGCAGGATAGGTGGTGAGGTTTCTGGGTAGGCTGCTTCCTAGGGAGGAGTGGTCTTCATTTACTTAGAAGCTGTCAGATTGGAGGAGGGTGGAGTGGGAAGGAATCTTGGAAGCACATTGTGGATCTGAGAGACTTTTAGTGTTTTTTTGGTTTTGTTTTTTGTTTTTTTTGCTAGGCAGTGGGGTTCAGTGGCTTGCCCAGGGTCACACAGCTAGTAAGTGTCAAGTGTCTGAGGCCGGATTTGAACTCAGGTCCTCCTGAGTCCAAGGCCGGAGCTTTCTCCACTACACCACCTAGCTGCGCCTCCGAGAGACTTTCAGGCACGACTCCTTGAGCCCCACACTTGCTGGTGGCAGTTGCTGTCCCTTCCTCTTGCTCGTGCTGCCGCTGCTGCGATTTGCACTGGTTTTGCCAGCCATTATATCTGCTCTTCTCTCTCAGCATTCTTTATTTTTTCAGTTTTGAATTCTAAATTCTCCCTCTTGCCCCTCCGCCACCCATTGAGAAGGTGAGCAATATGATATCACTTATACACGTGAAGTCTTGCAAAACTTATTTCCATGTTAGTCATACTGCTTAAAAAAAAGGCAAGTAAAATAAAATGGAAAAAATCTTCTTTGCTCTGCATTCAGAGTTCATCAGTGCTCTCTGGAGGTGGATAGCATTTTTCATCATTGGTCCTGTGGAGTTATGTTGGAGCATTGTCCTGATCAGAGTAGCCAGGTCATTCACAGTTGATCATTGCACAGTGTTGCTGTTACTGTGTACAGTGTTCTGCCTCTGCTCCCTTCACTTTGCATCAGTTCATCTAGGTCTTCCCAGGTTTTTCTGAAACCCTCCTGCTCATCCTTTCTTACAGCACAAATAGTATTCCGTCACAGTCATATACCACAGCTTGTTCAGCCATTCCCCAATTGATGGGCATCCCTTCAGTTTCCAGTTCTTTTGTGACTGCTCTTCTTGAATTCACTTTGCTACAGTTCCTCCTGAGGGCAATGGAAAGGAGACTGGCAGGGGCCACGACACTTCTCCAGATGCTTCTCAAAAAAGCATTTCCCCCCTCTTGGGCCTACCTGGCTCTCTGGGCCCATGGAGGACCTCTCCCTGCTCCTGAAATTCTTTGTGGCATGTCCTATCTGTCCCAGGTTGTGAAGCAACTATCTTACCCATCTTCTCCTGTGGATGAGGCCCTGAAAGAATTCCTGTTTGGGCAAACAGGCAGTCCCCTTTGCAGCCTGAGCCTCTCCAAATTTCTGAGGGGTGGTGCTAGATGCACAGGAATCATTCATCTCATTCATCCTGTGCTGAGGACTAGGTACAGACAGAGTCCTTACTCTGCAGGAAGGAAGTGTCTGCCTGTCCCTGTGGCATACTGGGCTGCCCCTGGGGTCTAGGTGGTAGGCAGAGCCTGAGAAGAGGACTCTTTTTTTTTTTTTTTTAAATTTTTAAGAGAGGAGGACTCTTGAGGTGTGTGCTGCTGCTACAGTGGGAACAGAGCATTGAATGCATGTAGTTGAGCAGGGAATGATTGTTGGGGAAGCTTGTGAGGTGCTTACTGTCCAGTGTGCCTCAGGTGCAGGCAGAGGGAAGAATGAGGGTGAAGGAGAGAGCAGATGCTAGGGGAAAGAGCATCTGAGCCAGGCTGTAAGCAGCTGCAAATGCAACAGCTGTGTTCTGTCCTCAGTTCTAATGCTTTGTTTGCAAATGCTGGGAGGGCCTCTTGAGTGCATACCACCCTACTTTGGAGACCCCTATTTTATACGGTCTGGCTTGTGTCATCCTTAGTGGTATACACATCAGAGCCTGCTTTTTGGATTGCAAGATTCTTGAGGGCAGTGATTGCAGCATTTATACCCACTAGCTGATGTTATATTGAGCATTTGGTAATGCGGATGGAGTTGGTGTTCAGTGTCCATTGGTGAGAAAAATGGTTTCCAAAAATGACATGACAACATTTGGTGAAAATCGATAAAGATTTTTGAGCAAACTTAAAAAAAAAAAAAAGGACATCCTGTCTTTGCTGGCAGCGAGGAGCAGAGAGTGCCTTGGGATTAGAGTTCAGAGGGAGCTGAGTTAGGATTCCTTACCTTCCCTGTTAACATTACCAGAGACCATTAGGAGAAGAAGATTGCCTTTATGATATCTTTTTCCCCCTCTCCAAGGTTACACTTGTTGGTTATTTAAAAATAGTAACTTAAAATACTTTATTTTCATTACTTTTTAGGACAAAAGACTGTTTTGACAAATGTTCAAGAAGAGCTGGACCGAATGACTCGCAAGCCTGACTCTGTGGTAACAGCAAACTCATCGACAGAAAATGAAGCTTGATAGTACTTAAACATACCTGTGTAAATGACCAAATAACTCTGTATATTGATCTGACAAGACCAGGATTTTTTCTGATACAGCCCATGCTATCAGTTTTTCTTGGGGCAGGGGAGATTGAACTTTAAAAAAAAAAAAACACGTATACACAACCAACCAACTTCTTTGGTTTGTCCAAGTGTAAAATGCACATTCAGGAAGTTTGCCTAGAAAAATCCCTGTGTTTCAGATAACCCCTTAGAATTCAGATAGGATAGCCTTGGTGGGAAGTGGGAGAAGCTACCTTTCTTTGACGTGGGCAACACCAAGGAACCAACCGCAGAATTTCTATCCAAGTGAAGCTAATGGTGACGTGCAAGGACAGAAGGAGGGACCAACTTTCAGATAGTTGCTAGAGTCCAAGCACTTGTGTGTTAACCAGTTCCTTTGTGCCTGGAAAGAAGGTGCAGGTGGCAGCAGAGTCCAGGAGGGCGAAGAAGGTCTAAAGAGAGAGGATGAGATTGGATACCAGAGGAAAACCGAATGTGGATGAGATGGAGGAAGACAGAAGGACAGTCAGTGTTACCAAACCTGTGTGTTCAGTAGGAGTCTAATAATCACTGTTAAAGACAAATTAGAGAAAAGTCTAAACTAAACACTAAACATCATGGGAATTAATTATTCTTGTCATGAATCATGTCTTTAGTTTTTAAAAGATGTATAAAATGTGGGATTTCTCTTCAGTGTACCTGATGCAGGGGGGAAATTACTCCAGCTTGCTTAGATCCAAGTACCTGGCACATTGTGGAATGGCTTAGAAGGTACTTGGACTTAATGTGCACTGTAATGCAGACAGTCACTGTTTGGCTTTAGTTTAAATATGGAATTATTTAATTTTAAATTGTATTTTCTAATAGTTACTGCCTTGGTTTTTTTTTATTTTATTTTATTTTTTATTTTTTTTTAATACCAACAGGCTGGCCTATTAATAGAATAATGGGTGGCATATCATTTTCCCATAATGAAATATGCTACAGAATGTTTTAGAGAGATTTTTAATAATTGCACTCTGGCTACTAAGCTAGCATGGATTCCTGCCTTATGGTTAGTGGAAACCTTCAAAGGTTTTCTTTGAAAGATTTCGCCCCAACTCACTAGTCTGCTCTGCAGCTATTTAAGATGGAGAATCTGTGTGAATATTGCACATTGGAAATGGAGATAATTATTTTCTTTTGTGTTTTCCTGAAAACGTAGCATTTTTTCTTATGGAAAGATGACTTTCAGTTATCTCCCAACATAAAATACACACACACACACACACACACACACACACACACACACACACACACACACATACACGATATAGGTGTGTGTTTGTGTGTATATATAGATATTCAAGTCCATAATCTCATCACAACAACATATGTGACATAGGAGATGTCTAGTTTTCAGATGGCACTTTTTATTTCATGAGTGATAAGGATCATTTAGATATTAAAACACTACCATGAATTTCATGGACACAGCATTTTTGTTGTCAAACTGAAGGGGGAGAAAAACCACAATTTTAATTATGCTGAGTTTACTTTTTATGGAGATGAAGTTGTTAGTTTTTACAATGTCTGAGCATAACATCCCTGATCCATATATGTGTGTATGTGTGTGTGTATGTGTGTATATATATATATACATATATATATGTGTGTGTGTGTGTGTATATATATATATATGCATATATATCATTACTTATACCTTCCATGTTATATTGACCACTAATAGGAATCCAGGAATAATTTTAAATCCTGTTCTATCAGGAGACTGACCTTTATTGTATTTTGTAACTGTCTCAACACTGCTAACTAGAAAACTAAGAGCATTTACTTGCCTCTTTGACAAATGTTAAACTAAAAGCCTTTTTCTTGTGCCATTTATATTGTTGGGAATACAGTATATGTTTTGTTTTTGTTTTTTTAACATTTTAAAAAATTGTACTGTGGCCTCAAGTTACAAAGTTGCCTAGGTAAACACTTGTGAACTGACTGTGGGTTGAAGGTTGATGTAAGATGTCTTCAGAGGGATACATGCTGGGAGCAAGTGAATATTGGAAAGGCTCTGACCATGCCATCAGTAGTCATTGCTTCCTGTCCCAGCAGTATCTGGAAAACTTTAGCAGCAAGAAGGAATTATTGGAAATGTGTATGTTTATTATTGTCGCAGTATGGTTTTTAAAATTAGCACAATGGTATTTTGGTTTTTTTTATTTGTCATTTTAACTGATAAGCACTTTCGGTATCAATCTAATGTATCTTCATTATTTGTCATAAGATTGTTGAAAATATTGAGCAAAAGCTCCTAACATCCCAGTCTTGTAAAAGAAGGTTTCTCGTGGAACCGTTTTATGCCAGTTCTTTGTTGCAAGTGAGTGCTCCTAGTGTCAGAAGAAGCTTGTCAGTAACTTGGTGTGCTCAGTGGTTGCCAAAGTCAGCCAGCTTTGGGCAGCTGCCAAGTATTTTTTGTTCCTGTTGTTTTCCTGTTTTGGGTGTCACCAAATATTGGAACCAAAGGCCAAGTAGCAAGCAGCCTTTACTTTATTTTCTCTGAAGAATACGCTTGTGTGGTAGACTGTTAAAAACTCCTCAGTGACTATTTACACATGCGCATTCTAGTGGTTACATCTGCTGTTCCTGTTTAAAGCCGAAAATGAGTCATAGAGAAAGGCCTAGAATTGGCCTATCACAAGAACACTGCAGACAAGCTGCGTAAGTTTTGTTCTTTTTCACTTAAAGCTTGCGCTGTTTCTGATTGACATCTTAAAACCAACATTAAACTGTCATATTTTATTTAATTAAGTGGGAAGTGACTGCTCTGTACATCATGAATCTAACAATATACACGCTGTAATTCACTGTCCTGTACACTAAGTTTCATCGATCTTTTTTAACCTACAGTTAGAATGGCAGATTATCAGCCACAAATCTTAATCCAGTTGTATGGCTTTAACCAGGTGCAGTATGCAGTCATGTGGAATCTCGCTTTCTAGTGCTGGCAAAATGGAGATGTCTCTAATTACTGGCTTCAATAAACACGAATCCAGACTGCTGGCATTGCTTTGTGATTTTGTTTCTTGCATATCTGATTGGGAAGGAGTAAAATTACAAAGGAGAATAGCATTCTAGAGTTAGAAGGACTGTCAGAGGTCATAGAGCCCCACCCACACCTGAGCAGGACCCATACATCATTAGATCCAGAAATAACGGAGATCATCCAGTTCTGGCTTCTCATTTTAAAAATGAGGAAATTAAGGTCTAGAATTCTGGTACCTGCTTAAGGTCACTCATAGAAGTGGCAGTGTTGTCTGAGCCCAGGACTTCTGACTTCACATCCAGAACTATTGCCATATTGTGGGATAAATTTAATTCTCACACTCCGTCCATCTTGTCACATTTCTTCTTCCTGCAGTCACAGAAATTTGACTTCCCCAAAAGACACAACATCCCTGGCTGCCCTCTCCAGTGCTGGAGGTGTCTTTTCTTGTTCCCTCTTACACATGGCATGATACTGGTGCCCACGCCTACTTCCACTTTCCCTCTACCACCATTAGTCAGCAATGTCTTCTCAGAGGTTCACTCCATCTAGATATATTGTTCTATGCAACAGATCCTGGTTGCAGTTCCCTACTGGCTGCCCCTTGTCACCACTCATCCCCTTCCAAACCTTAATCTTGCTGTTCACTTTCAGTCCTACTTACATTCTAAGTGCCACCAGAAGAGGTCAGCAGCTTGCTTGCTGGGTCCACTACACATTGGTTATTGTGGTCCAGTTCTTTACTCTTCCCTGTTGACTTTATCACATACCCTGTGTTTGTTACAGACCTATCCACAAGCTCCCTCACTTCCCTCCCCCTAATATCCACCTCTCATCACAACAAAAGATCTTGCCTCTTAATTTACTGGGGGGAAAATGAGCCTGTTTCAAGCTCTCCTATCCCTCATCATCTCTACCTGCCACCATTTCTGTCTGTTTCCATCTTCCCTGGTAGCTTGCTTCTTGGATAGTCCTCTCTCTAATTTTCAGTCTTGTTCCGTAAGCTGAGTCCCTGCTTTCTACAGTCGTGCTCTATCCCTGCCATCCTTCATCTTCCCTCAATAATAACATTTCCTAAAACTGTCATTTTATTACCTCCCTTTCACTGCCAGACTCCTCGAAGAGGCTGTCTGTGCTGATTGCTTCTGCTTCCTTCCTTCCTTCCTACACACTTCTCAATCCAGCTTACATCCTGGATAGGTTCTAAAACTGCTGTCTCCAAGGTTATGAGCAATCTAATGACTTTTCTTAGCGCTCAACCTTAAAAATTTTTTTTTTACAAATTTTTATTGATGTCTTTTTTTTTTAACGTGACCAGTGTCCTTTCCCCTCCCTACCAGAGAGCCATCCCATATGATAAATAATATTTAAAGGGAAAAAGAAAAAAAAACACTGATCAATACATTAAAAAAAACCCTGAAAATAAATGCAAAGTACCATACCCGTAGGCCTCTCTTCTCTGCAAAGAAATGAGGTGGAGATGTCATATCTCTTCTTTGGAACCATGCTCATTCTGAGTTTGCAATAATTCACTTTTGATTGTTTTGTGATTCTTTCCATTTGCATTGTTGTAATTATGTATATTTTTGGGGAGGGCCTCTGTGTACTTTGCTGTGCATCAGATTATATAACTCTTCCCATACTTCTCTGTAATCATCCTATTTGTAATTTCTTATGGCACAGTAATATTCCATTACATTCGTATACCACAATTTATTTTAATTGATGGACATCTACTTTATTTCCAATCCTTTGGTACTACAAAAAGTGATGCTATAAATATTTCTGGGGGACTTCCTTATCAATGAATTCCTTGGGGTATAAGCCCAGTAGTAGGATCTCTAGGTCAAAGGGTGTGGACATTTTACTCACTTTATTTGCATAATTCCAAATTGTTTTCCATAATGGTCATTACTGCTTCACAGTTCCAGCAGCAGTCCCCTAGTGCATCTCTCTTCCTACAAACCCCTCCAACGTTGACTATTCCCATTAGTGTTGAGTTTTGTGCTGTTGGTTGGGGTTCTTTTGATTATATTTCTCCTATTAATGATTTGGAGCAGTATTTCATTTGGTTGTTAATAGTTCGCAGTTCTTTTGAAAACTGTTCTCAACCTTAGACTGTGTATGTATTCCCTTAGGCTTTTCTGTCTTTTATATAAACAACATATTCATACATATATGTTTGTGTATACACACACACATACACATATATTAATTAATTTTAATTAATTAATACCAAACCTTTATCTGAGGAATTTGACACAAAGGTTTGTTTTTTTTTTCCTATTTGCTTTCCTTACCCTGATTACATTAATTTTGTTGAGGGAAATCCGTAAGAGAAGGACAGTGATGAAAAATCACTGGTAGCTTAGAAGGCTTATGCTGTTTCAAAGTGAAGGTGGCACTTGACTTGGGCCTGTAAGTGTAGGCATAAATTAGAAGATGGAAGGTGGGAATATTCAGTAGGTATTCCCTTCTTTGGAAAGATGCCTGAATCACCTTTTTGATGTGTTCATCTGCCTCCTTATTAATAAATATTAATAATGTCTTCCCTGAATATATTTGTAAAATATTGACGTTCATACAGCTTTATTGGATTAATATTGATTAATTCTTCCCTCATAAGTATAAAAATCTCCAGTAACCGTCACGGACTGGCACTTAAGAGTTATGATGTCATGAGACATGTTAGTCTTAAAGTCTAGAAACCTAGGTTCATGTCCTAGCCCTGAGACCTTAGCTATGTGATCATGTGTATTGCCCCATCAATACAATGGGGATAATACCTGTGTTAGCCATCTCACAGAATTGTTGCACAGAAAGCATTTTCTGAACCTTAATGTGCTACAGAACATACCTTTATCTGTTTAGAAGTTTAGATGCCTCTACATCCTCTACCCTTCATCTGTTACCCTTCCTCTCAACAATCCACTTAGACATTGTTGCATATTATATTAACTATGTATGTATTCCCTTACCAGACCGTAAGCTCCCAAAAGGCAGGGGCTGCTTCTTATCTAAACTTACCTAAAGGGAGTATTCTACATCCACCCCACCCAATACCCTGCACACAGAAGGTACTTAGTAATTGTTTTATAGAATTATAGAGCTCAAAGGGATTAATCAATTTACCTCTTAGGGTTTAGATAGAGATTCTCAACCTTTTTTGTGTGTCCTAGCCCCCCTCTGACAATCCGGTGAAGCCTGTGGATCGCCTCAAAATAATGTTTCAAAATAAAAGTACATAGGATTACAAAGGAAACCAACTGGATTGAAATATAATTATTTTACATGTGTATTTTACATATCACATTTTATAAAAGTTGAAATCTACAGAGATTTAAAATTTCTAAAATGCTGTGAGTATACTATCTTATTTGGTCCTCGTAACAACCCCATGAGGCATTACGGGTTCCCAAAGGGAACCAAGGAGCATTGCTGACACAAATGTCCACTTTATCATCTCTGTAACATTGATTTAGAATGGTCTCCTTATTCGCCTCTGCCTATTACAAGTCTTGGATTCCTTCAAGACTCCTCTCAGAAACCACCTTCTGCAGGAAGCCTTCCCCGTTTCCTCATTCTAGAGTCTTCCTGTCTAAGATTATCATCCATCTTTCAAACTATTTTTCAAAAACAAGTTTACAGTTGTCCTTTTCCCCCCACCCCCCCACCCCTCCATGCACACTTGAGGGTAAGGACTATCTTTTTTAAAAAATTAAGTTATTTTATTCCAATGACATGTAAAAACAATTTATAACATTTTTTCCTTAATTTTGAGTTCCAAATTCCCTCCCTCTCCCCTCATTGAGAAAGCAAGCAGTTTTATATATGTTATACAAGTGCTGTCATACAAAGCATATTTCCGTATTAGTCATGTTGCGAAGGAAACAAAGACCCCCCCCCAAAAAAAAATAACAAAAAAAGTATGCTTCGATCTGCATTCAGACTCCATCAGTTCTTTTTCTGGAGATGGGTAGCATCTTTTTCACCATAAGACCTTCAGAATTATCTTGGATCATTGTATTGCTAAGAATAGCTAAGTCATTCACAGTTCATCATCGTACAATATTGCTTTTACTATGTTCGATGTTCTCCTGGTTCTGCTTATTTCACTTTGCATCAGTTCATGTAAGTCCAGTTTTTCTGGAATCATCCTGCTCATCATTTCTTCACAGCACAATAGTATTCCATCACAGTCTTGTACCTCAGCTTGTTCAGCCATCCTCAGTTTCCATGTAGAGACTGTCTTTTGCCTTTCTTTGTATCCCCAGGGCTTATTGACTAACTTCAGGGTTTGTTAAGAACCTCTGGATTAAGGGGTGATGATCAGGTTTCCACATTTCCTACCATATCCAATACTCTCCAACTCAGTTTCTTAATAATGTTTAAATAGTGCTCTTATAGTTACAAACTATTTTGTATATATTTCTATACATGGTTTTCTTTGACCTCCTGGTAAAGTCAGTACTGCAAATGGCACCTCCATTACTTATTCTTCGTTTTGGAGAAATGAAGTAATTTGCCCCAACAACATTGTACTATTCCTCACTGACACCATTCTGTCCTCATCCTTGGTCAGCTCATGGCCCTTGCCTTCACCCAACTCAAAATACTTCCAAGGAAACACCTGACAGATAATTTCTTTACCTATGATGTGGCCTCTTAATCATACCACGTTATTTTTCAGATAGCTAGCTGTCACAGTGGATAGAGCACTGGACATGGAGTCAGGAAGACCTGAGTTCAAAACTTGCCTCAGGCCTTTAGTAATTGGGTGACCCTGGGCAAGTCACAACCTTTCTCAGAGTCAGTTCCCATATCTGTTAAACTTCCCAGACCTCCATAACCAGAAAATTGGGAGCACAAGTTAAAGTGCAACTGGTGACCAGGTGACATCAAGAGGGAGCCAGAAGATGGAGGGACTGAGAAAAGAAAAGGTTCAGGATGAAAGCTTGCTTATTAATTATACAGTAAGTGTTCCAGAGAGCACAAAGGAAAGGACAGATAGGTCTGGAGT